GAAATCTGTTTGTATCTGTTTTATGGATTCCATTTGTTTCCTATGTTGGGATTCCATCCTGTTCCTCAGATCCTCTATTTTTTTAATCTGTGTCCTCTCTAGATTTATTAATCATGTCTTGCAGCATGAGCAAAATCTTTGCTGTTATCTCAGTAATTATTTCTGATTTCGTTTTTCCCAGATCCTCTTTTGTTGCCAGTTGAGAGAGTCCAGGTGGTTGAGTATCAGATTGTTCCATCTCATTTCCCTTCGGGGTTGCTGTAGGTGATCTGGAAGTCTTTTTTTTGAGGCTTGTTTATGTGTTTTCTCATTTCCATGGGGGGGAGTGCTTCTGGTGCCCCCACGGCTCACCTTCTCTGCCCTAGGAGCTTGGGATGGCAGCAGGGGAGCTTCCTTCCAGGTTCTGGGACCGGCTCAGTTTCTCTACCCTAGGAGCTTGGGATGGCGGTGGGGGAGCTTCCTTCTGGGTCCTGGGACCCGTTGAGCTTCTCTGCCCTAGGAGCCTGGGATGGAGGTGGGGAGCTTCCCTTTTTGGTATTTTTATATACCAGCTTTACAGTGGAGGTTGATGAGCAAACAGCTGTCCTGTATCTTGAGACAAACATTAGCTTCCTGTCTTCCCTATCCTCATAAGTAGCTACTTAAAGTTTGAGTTTTATGCAAGGAAACATTTTAAAGCCTTCAGTGTTTTATTGCAGCAGACTTCAGATTCATTCCTGGTGGTGGCTTCTCTGCCTGACATCCCTGCCGCCACCGCCAGTCTGCGGTGAGTAGTGGGGCAGGTGAGGCCTTTTACTTTGTTTCTAAGACCAGGGAAATGCATTGTCGTCAATTAAACCAACAATTGAAAATAAAAATGATGGCTTTCTCTTCACTGATTGATGCTAGACATGAAGCTTCTTACACACAAACATGAGCATTCAGACAGGTATTGATTCTGTTTTGGTTTTTTGGGTCATTTAGTGAGACTTCCCTTACTGAAATTTGCAGAAAAGTCCAGGCTCCACTTTGCCAATTGTTCGATTTCCCTCCACAAGCTTTTCCCCCCTCTTTTTGTTTTTGCACCCTTTGTAAAAAGCATAATGAACATTAAAGTGATAAAAGGGAAGTAGCAGAGAGATAGAAAAGTTGAAGGTTTGCATAGTTCCCAAAGTGCCCAAAACTAGTTAACTAGTTAAGTAGTTCTAAACTAGTTCTTAACTAGTTTTTAATGCACAATATTTACACCTATTTGTATAACATAAATGTCACATAAATCAAAGCTTACCAACTATGCAACACTTCTCTGTGCCCCATCATTTTCTTTAAGCTATTTCTTGTGCATGCCTTTTTTAAATTTGCATTTCAGATATGACTTAACATAGTCTCAAACTAACATGGTGCTTAACAGAATCAAATACAAGAAGAATTCTTGCCCCAAAAGACTGAGAATCAGATAAGAAGACTCTTGACTGTGAGGTGATCTGCATAGTTAGGTTGAGAAGTCCTTGTCTTCTACCAGCTAGTGCTTTGCTTTACTGCTAGATTTCAGTTTTCCCAATCAGAGAAAAGATTTTTCTAAGCCACCTCAGAACACTCACTTAACCTTGCTTATTCTTCTGTTAAATGAGAAATTTGGGCTCAATTTCTAAGATCCTTTCCAGTTCTGATTCCTGGGTGAGACCATATCCACATATTCACCTTACAATGTACTGCACAGCCAGGATCAAAAAACCTCTTAAGGTCAGTTAAATTCAACAAATGTTTATTGGGCTTTTTCTATGGGTTGGAAAAATTCAGATCAAAGAAATGATTGAAAAGAATATACATGAGTCAGGGTAACTCTCAGCTCTACCCAACATTCCCCCTAGACACCTTGGGTCAGGCTGTTATGAGCCTCGTGAGTAATGTGTCCTGGGGATAGTCACATCTTTAGCTGCAAGGGAGGGGCCACAGATTATTCTGTTTTGAATCTAGTGATCTCACTCAGTGTTTTTCAGAAAACTCTGTCTTTCCTTGTATTTTTGCTAA